TAAACACCGTGAAGCTACCACTACCTGAAGCTCAAGCCGAACAGACAGTGAAGCCCTCGAAAGTCAGCATCCCAAAAAACCCTAAACCCCTAAACCCCAAACCCTAAACCCTGAACCACTAAACCCCTAAACCCTAACCCCTAAACCCCTAAACCCCTAAACCCCTAAACCCATAAGCCCTAAACCCTAAACCCCTAAACCCCTGAGCCCCCAAGAGCCCGAAGCTAAGAAGAGCCCAGCTGCACCCAGGGCGTCCCAGAGACCCGTTAGACTCTGGAAGGCGATACTTCCGCCCAGAATCATCCTGGGAAATTTTATTTTAAGTTACCATTTATAAAGGAACTTAAGAGGGTTTAGGGCTTGTAGGGTTCTAGGGTTTAGGGGTTTAGGGTTTTAGGGTTTCGGGTTTAAGGGTTTAGGGTTTTAGGGTTGAGGGTTTTAGGGTTGAGGGTTTTAGGGTTGAGGGTTTAGGGTGAAGAGATTTACTTTACGCTAGCATACTCAGGAAAGCTTTCTATTTACTATAGATCTCCATCATCGTAACTGAAATCAATACCTTAACAAGAACCCAGAATCAAGACGAAGAGGACAAAGAAGGCAAAGGTCTGCAGATAGTCCAGTCGACCGGGAAACCTCGTAGATTCGTTACTGTCCAGGCTTAAGTGGATTAGGGTTTAGGGGGTTTAGGCTTTAGGGGTTCAGGGGTTTAGGGTTTAGGGTTAAGGGTTTGGGGTGTAATACCCTGCTGTAGCCCCCAAAAAGGGTAGACCTTGTAAGTTATAGCAGGGTTGTCGTAGAAGCCCCCAAAAAAGGGGGACCAAAGCAGGCTTTCCAAGAAGAGTCCAGCAGCAATGGTGTAGCAAAGCGTTCGCAAAGATAAGCGGCAACTTTGAAGGACACGAAGAACCAGCAAATGCTGAAGCCAAAACAGCTGGTCAAAAGCTCGACCAAGAGCCAATCTGCCTTCGTTGTTCTAGGTTTGAAAAGAAAACATGCTTCTTTGTACCCGAACCCTTAACCAAAACAGTTCCATCCACAGCTGAGTCTGCGGAGACATGTGCACAAAGCAGTGCCACAACCCAATCCAAAGAGAGCGAAGCCATCACTCCCAATGGCAGCAAGATGTACTTGAGTGGAATGGTTGATTGTCCAGACTCCAACAACTCTTCCCGGAGAGGGCCTTGCACAAATTGGGTGAAGGCTTCGGTGCTTCCATACCAGGCCTGGATGGCCGTGAAGACAAACCTGCGGTCAAAGTCACTGTGACTCTGCACCGCTGCAAGGTCAAAACCTTTCAAGTCATGCAAGAGCTGATATTTAACAGCGGCGTTCTGTCTGAACTGGTGCATGAGCACATAGACGGGAACAAGGGCGATGGCATAGGAGGCCATTGGCGCCACCACGCTTCCCAAGGGTATCGAAAGCATGAATAGGAAGCAGCTAAAGTATGCACCAGCAACGCACATAAAGGAGCCAACCTCCACAAACAGGGGGCAGAATGCTAGCCGCCCAGCTGGATTTGCGGTACGGAATGCGGCCACTTCAAAGACACACCTTGGATGTGATAGGAAGCAACAGAAGGCTTTACCTGCTTCCCGAGACGATCGCGAAAAATCTACAAATCCGCCCAGATTCCACAACCTCGTAAAGTAGGGGGTGCTCCACAACATGCGCAACTCCTGCGAAAGGCAAGGAACTGGCAGGGATCCCTCATTAACATTCTTGCTTCTAACCCTACCTTCCCCAGAGATAATCTACCTTTGTAAGGTTCCTCGTTCTGACTTTCTTATATAAGTCCTTTGAAAGGTAGGTGTTCCAGAGTCCAAGTAAACCCTATACATTTCTCACTCTCGGTGCTTCCATTCTGGAGATAGCTTGAGATTCTGGGTCCTTGGACTTGCAGAGGAATCCTCCAATGCCATATACTCCGCGCTCCTTGGTTTAGGGTTGAGCGTTGACGGTTCAGGTGGTACATTTGTGGCAAAAAGCAAACAAGCGGAACTGTGAGTACATGTAGATGTGTCATAAAGAAAACTATCTCGATCCGTACAACTTCGCAATGCCAGACAAAACAGATAGCCCTCACCCAGGCCTACAACCTGAAATCCGAAACCAATGACCATGAACTCCAAACCCCTAAACACCAAAACCCTAAACCCCTAAAACTTTCAGTACTACTCGGTCCAAGATGGTCCAAGTCTCCATGAGCTCTTTGTCTGTCTGGTTGATGCTTGCAACATCGAGGAAGCCTTTGTGATCAGGGTTTGTTGTGACTTGGTTTATGTACTTAGCACGGGCTTCGACACTTTGGGCAAGGCAGCCCGATCGCCGGTGGCCACGAATCCTTCTTGCCACATTGGTGAGTCGTAGATCGTGAGAGTCGGAAGTCATGAGTCACGGGGGTCATCCTGAAAATCCAGACTCTGACTCCTACATGTGCTACTGCTGTGACAACTTCCACTGCAGCAAGTCGCTGTGCGACTATTTCCTTGCATTCTACTCATTCTGTAAGTTCGTCTGTCCTTCTACTACGTCCTCCAGCACCAACACCGCTTGCTGGTGCTCCCCGTACCAGTGACTTGTACTAATGCTGCGGTACTGGCGTGTCTTCTTTTCGTCCCCCCCTCCTGCTCCGACAACCTCTTCTACAACTCTTGCTGCCGCTGGATGAAGAGGAAGATGACGACAGCAACAGCAGCTGAAGCAACAACGGGAATACTTGCCAGACTACGCACTGCAACATAAAGCAGTGACTATACTGGGCATGATTCAAATCAAAAGCATTGCGGTTGCACTGCTTATGCCGCTGACATAGCTCTCAGACATGCAAAGCTGTCAACATTTGCATCTTGCACTACACGCGAAGACTCCTCTTGTAAAGCCTGCTATGTGTCCATTCCCGCACAATCCTATCTTTGCGCCCAAAAGCTTCTCAAAACTCCCTAAACCAAAACCCGTAACCCCTAAACCCTACAAGCGGGACGAGGAACACATCGGCGCCCGGGAGCAGACGGTAGGGGCGTATGGTGCAAGCAGGAGCCCTGCGCCGTGGCCGATGAAGGAGCCCAACAAGCACCAAGGCCCACACGAGAGCTGTGTACCGTCACCATACCTGAATGTTAGGGTTTAGGGTTTTGGGGTTTAGGGTTTAAGCCTGTATGTCTGGATTTGCGGCACATGGTTCTAGACTCTCCGGACCATAACCGCGCATGCACGACAAAACACCAATACTCGCGACAATGCGGTTCACAACAGTTGCAGCAGCAGTGCTTCAACCAGTGTCAGTCGCGATGGCCCCTCATAGAGAGAGGAAGACAGAGAGCGACAGGAAAGCGAGAGGGAGAGAGGGAGGGAGAGGCAGAGAGGGAGGGGAGAGGGAGAGGGAGAGAGAGAGAGAGAGAGCGAGAGCACAACGCCAACTCCTCGAACCAGAAACTTGTCCTTACATTCTGGCGCGCATTGTATCCTTCTGAAGCATCCCCAAGCCTTCACCGTAAACCCTAAACAAGCCTGGAGGTGTACTCGAAGGGCAGTGGGAGGAGGCAATTGCTCGACAGCAAGAACATCACCGCCACGCATGCCTCAGCATTTCATTTGTGCGTTCTTAGAACCACAATAAACACGACAGTATCAAGAGTAGAACATAAAGACCATTTCTTGGAGCACTAAAGTTCCACAGGCTTAGCATCTCCGAATATTGCTAGGCACTAGGGGTTTGAGCACTCACGACTGGGACATGCCTGGCAAGGGTCCTAGTTTAGTGACAGTGTAAGTATAGGCGTTTAGGGACATCCAGCCCTTCAACCATATGTACGCCCTACGCAGATCTACTCGGTCCTCACTTAGACCTTCCACACCCTAAGTAACTTGTTTCGTTTGAACGGCATGTCTTTTACACATACATGTAGGTAAACGTATGTGCCACTTGGACTTAAGCTGCAGTTCCCTGAATGAAAAAACTCCGTCAAAGTAGGAGGAACCCCAATGTAGGGATGCATTCAGGCAGGAGGATACATTCTTTCTACCAACTTTCTGTGCGTTTGCTACCAACAACCTCTCAAGTTTACCATACTCAGAAACGCACACACACACACGCACGCGCACGCACACACACACACACACACACACACACACACACACCAACCACACACACACACACATGAATCCCAAGCCACAAACCCTGAAGCCTAAACCCTAAATCAACTACCAAGACACAGCCCAAGCATGCAGGGCAACGCTAAGACCAGATTGCAAGAGCAAGCTCAAGACTTTCCACCTTCCCTTCGTATGCCAAGTGTGGGAAAGGAACACATCGAAGCTGTCAATGTGAACGGACTTTTTCCACAGATTGTTACGGGCCTCCTCCGACATTTTAAGCGGAGATACGCGCCACATCTTCCCGAAGTTCCGCAAGGTCACCTGGAGTGGAACACCACGCACAATTTCTGTATCCACTTCCAGCTGCTGCAACTTCTCCAGCCGCAGCTCCTTGGTGAGCGCTCTTGGAGCCGTGGACTTGGTGGCACACGGAACTCCATCGCGCCCTTCGGAGCCGTCGCCCAAGCTCTTGGCCGGATACACTTCCTGAGCTTCGATCACCTCTACGCCCGCGGAAAGTTGTCCATCGCAGCAGCCACAAGCAGACACCATGACTGGGTGTTCAAATCCCAAACTCCTTGAACACAAATGGCCACTGGGGCTGCCGGAGCGTTCGGCTTTGGCACAAAGGTGCCTGTAGGCCTCAGGATTGATGGAAAAACTTCTTCGGTCTATCAATCATGCGGCATTGTTCTTCACTAGGCAAAACTGATTAACTTGAGATGGTGCTGCAACGCACCTTTTGCCATCTGTTTCTACACACTTTCGTTGTGCTTGCTACTATTGTTAGCCAAAAGCCTACTAAAAAGTCACGGCCGAAGAACCCTGGCAAACGCACTCGGAATGCACATGTAGCGAACAGAGTACTGGCAAAAACACATACATTGTCTGGACTGCACCAGAGTTGCTGACGGAAGGTTTCACGTGGTTGTCAGACTGACACCCCGCCAAACAAAAGCGGTGGCAGTAGTAGTATTATTATTATTATTAGTAGTAGTAGTAGTAGTAGTAGCAGCATTAGCAGTAGTAGTGCTGGTAGTAGTAGTAGTAGTAGTAGTAGTAGTAGCAGCATGGGAGTGGTAGTGGTAGTGGTAGGTAGTGGTAGTAGTAGGAGGTAGAAGTAGAAATAGGAGTAGAAGTAGAAGTAGATGCAAAGCTAGGATGCCTGTCGTCTACGGCTTGGGTTTTCGTAGAAACGAAGACCGAACTGCTGAGCCCACTTAACTCGGACACTCAGCTATACCCTACACAGGCAGGTGTGCAGTTGCTGTACCTCAAGACCGTAAGATACCTCGATCCAACCACGCTGTCACGGCCTTCGGAGGTGTGATCACGGACACCCCGTAGTCCTGTCAGAAGCCCTATAGCCGGGTTGAGAAATCCGAAAGCTGATAGCTGGGGCCTTCACAAATTAGAATGGGGTTTTGGGGTATATTACACTTATGGTTGTAATAAGGAACCCCCAAAATAGTATAGATAATTGTTAAGGCCCCTATATAAAGAGAATGTGCTGCTGTGCGAACTGACCTTCCCGCCGCAACTTGTAGATTTCTTGCTAGTCTCCAACATGATGGTCGTCAGGGTGACGATGGTGCCCACGACAACGGTGCTAATGATCGTGATCATGATGATGATGAAGATGATTATGGTGATGATGACGGTGATGATGATAATAACGATGATAATCATGGTGGTGACGATTTGAGAAGGAGGATGAAAGACCGTCGTCATAAATGGCGACCATGACCATGATGCATCTGTCGACGATGATGGCGATGATGATGTCGATTCTGCTGCTGATGATCGTGCCCACTCTCATGCAGTGACAAATCAGTTGAATCTTGGCCGTCGTGGCAACAGACGAAACGCCAATGTGCAACCAGAAAAAGCGTTGACAAGCGGAGGCTATCACCCGAGATCCCAAGCGCCAACCTCCCCAGAGCAAGCCTATCTGTGCCTCTACAAGAGTTGCGTCACGTGCATCCTGCGGCGACTAACAAAAAAGAGATTTCGGGCTTGTCGTTCATGGTTTGGGCCTTGAGTCCCAATGGTCTTCGCGGGTGCAAGCAGCACAGTGCTGTTCCGGATGCACCAGAGCGCGCTCTCTTCTGAAATCCCTCTTTGGGGCTGACATTGCGACCCCGGGGCTGCTTTTTGCTTAAACCCAGTTGGGTAGGAGCCGGCCTATGCCCGAGGTGGTTTTGCGCCTGACAGCACGTAGGGCTCAAGGGCTAATGTTCAGCTCTAAACCCGAAACTCTAAGCAAGAAATCTCAAACCCTAAACCGTAAACCCTAAACCCGAACCTCTAAAGACTAAATCCCAAAGTCTATGGCTCAGGGCTTGGTGTTTAGGTTGGGATGCCTTTACTTCGCGCCCGAGATCTCGAAGAGAAGCCACTGCTGGCAGGCCTGATTTGGGGATGGGGGTTGGGTTTAGGGTTTGGGTATTTAGGGTTTTGGTTTAGGGTTTGGGTATATGTATATAAGGGAGGGTCAGGGCACTATCGGGGTCTAGGGCCAGTCTAGGGTTTAGGGCCCTGGGTTCCTCGCATTGAATCGAAGGGTTTTGTTGAAGGGCTCCTTCAAGGGTTGATGGGTATGAGATGATAAGGGCGCATGTTCCGTTACAGTACGGGTACGGGCGAAGGGTTCCGTAGGGGTTCTGTAGGGGTTCAGGGTGTAATTGGGTTCATGTATCCATAATGACGCATGCACTTGGGTCCAATGTTAGGACATAGTAGGCCTTTGTGGACAGGGGGTTTATAGTGCTTGATAAAGGTGTCCTAAGAGTTTATACGGTTGGATAAAGGTCTTACACAGTGCGTGCCCCTAAACCCTAAACCCCGAAACCCTCAACGCCCCTAAATCGTGAACCCTGAACCCTAAACCCTACAGCAAACCCCAAAACCCCAAACCCCTACATTCTCAATACCCTAAATAGCTTTCAAGATGCTGCATTCTGCAGAGCCGCTTGCTTGCAAAGTGACATGGTAACGGACGTCATCAACCCAAATGAGCCCCCACATCCACAACTTCCAGACCATAGACCCTTTTCTAAACTACTACACCAACTTGCGGTACGGTGATGCCGTTGGCGGCGCCTTACTAACTAGAGTAGGGGCTTTTGGTAAGGGATTCATCAGGTTCCAGCCAGGCCTTAATTAAGGGGGTTTAGTATGGTATTACAAAAGCCCCACATCGGAGCTGAGACATTCCATTGCGAACCGTATGATTCAACTACAGAGCCGCATGATTCCATATAATACAGGGTTTAAGAGGTTAATAAGCCGCTGCTCTACAACCCAACTAGAACCCACTGAAATCAGTAGCCGAAACTAGGCAAGCCCTGCAGAACTCGTATAAGACCTTTATACAGCCTGCGTACGAGTCCTAGTCTAAACTCTCCCCAAAGCACAAAACCGCTGAACCCTAAGCTCTAAACCCTACAAGCCCCAACCCCTAAACACCCAAAGCCCTATAAAACCCAAATGCCTAAACGCCTAAAGCCTAAACCCTATAAACCCCAATATAAACCGCCAACAACCCCTAAACCCATAATTCTAAAACCCTAACTCCCAGTATCCCCCAAAGTCATGTCGTGCCTTCGATGACCTTCTGCTTGATGCTCACGGGGACGACGCTGAGCCCGTGCTGCATGTAGCAGCGCAAGACCTGCGGAGATTCTAAGGAATTAGGGTTTAGGGTTGGGGTCACCCATCGGACTCACACTTCTGATCTGACACCAATACCTACTCGCATACAATTCCCCTGCACCGAGTCCGGGCTGGCAGCATTTTCTAAACAGCAGTGAAGCTTCGAAAGTAACACGAGTTTCGCGGACTCTCCAAAGAACCGTGTAACGGCAATGTACCGTTTTACAGGCAGGCTTCAACCAATCAAAAGCAGAATCGATGACATGACGGCAAGTTGCACACCTTTCAACGGTTCGATATAAGACTCGTTCAAGAAACCCCTGGCATTCTTCGATGGCCTGCCTGGTTGCCGAACTTCCGTCGCTCAGCCGACGCTCCAACCACGGCAAAGCCGGCCGGGGCAGCGAGGAAACCCTTGCAAGGTCCGCCCGCATTTCGCGTTGATACATGTATCGGTATCATGATACGGGAGTTTGCAACACGGGTTATGTACATTCTAATTATACATGTTCTGTGGGGCTCCAGTTTTGTTGTGCAGAGCGTGAGGCCCAGAGCTGAGGGTATCAGGTTCAGGTGTTTGGTTTGGAGATTCCATGGGTTAAAGGGTTTCACTTAGTTGCTGAGTTCATAAGCCCCAAACAATGTACACGTTCAGTAAAAGTGGCCCATTCAGCTACTAAGTTCAGGTTTTGAGCTTAACACATAGGCGTTGTGGATCCGATCACGGAAACCTTACTGCAGGGATTTTCGATACGAGGTGCAACCTTCAGGGTTTTGGGGTTTTTAGGGTTCGGGTTTAGGGTTTAGGTTTCGGGGTCAGGGTTTCAGGTTTAGAGTTCAACCTACATGGTTCAGGGTTTATAGGGTCCAAGCTAGGGCGTAGGGTTCGCAGCGTCTTCGACCCCCGGGGCCTCCACAGCCGCCGCGGCATGTGTCGCCACGGATTGCACAGAGGACTTGCAAGAGGCAGCTGGGACTTCATGGGTTCTTTTAAGGCTTTCGGGTTCAAGGTCAAGGGGTTCTTCTTGAGCATAAGCGACAAACGCCTTTTTAAACATGCGGATGTTTAAACACAGAAACAAACATTCGATGCTGCCCAATTTCGTGCGGTTCCCGGACCGCCCACCCAGTTGTGTACAAACGGATACAACGCTGTCCTTCGCGCGGAATCTCTGACCTAACCCTGTCACGCATAGCGATCCCACCTACCACGCCTAGCACAAACCCACCACCCCCACACACACGCATGAACACCCCTCGCAGGAATAGTTAGCACTTGTTATAACCTACATAGGGGTTCTTGGCTTGACCCCTTGCCATACATTGAAAACATCTCTGCAGGTACGCTGGGTTGATCGGACCCAATAATTATCAGCCGCGGCATAGCCCTCTTCGTTGGTTGGGCAACCCGCTATGCCCCCGGAGCTGCCCGCCTGCAATTATCTGTTTGTTATCAGCGTGTCACACACACACAACCACTCCCCTTTGGGGAGTAGCTGGAAGACATCGAGCATCATGGCGGTTCGAACTCAAGGCCGCAGCCCGGCATCATGCTCGTAACAAAACTCCTCTGGCACCGCTGGGGTAAGGGTGCTGCCCCATAGAAACTTGGGGTCCTGGCCTCTTGTCGTCGTCTAGGGCTCACCAGCGTTTCGCAGGTCAAAACCGCAGCCACGTCATGGTGCCCTTAAATTGCGTCGTTTGGCGTAAAGGTCCTGCCCCACGCTGATGTGAAGCAATCAAGGTGCAGATCAAGCTTGATGCGATCAAGGTAAAGCTCAAGGAGGTGGACTAAGATGTTGATCAATCTTTGCTTGAGCAGGCATCAGGTAGTTTTAAACACGAGAGACGGCAAGAGTTTGCTTGCGAAAAGACGACTGGACATTCAAGCGGCTACG